CATGCGCACACACTCAATGGTTCTTTGTCAAAATTATTTATAAAATTTTATCTTGCCATTTTTGAGGGTGAATAGAAATGATAACTCTTGGCTTTGGATGAATGTTCGAGCCAGCTGACCTTGCATACATTTGAGGCAGCACTGTACTGCGAGTCTCAATCACGGCAAGTTAAAGTGATTTCAGATTTGTCTTCTCTCTGAGACAAATTGTTCAGCATTGTTCTTCAGTGACTTCAGTTTTGATTACCTTTCTCATGTTTTCTTTGTGTCTGTCATTTTTTCAAGCAGGTATATGAAAAGGATCTGTTTGGGAAGGAGCAGATAATAAAAGTGACTAATAAGGGGATGCAAGTGAAGTAGTTTGGTACTTAATGCTGATATGTAAATGGTATTCCTTTTGCCTTTTTCTTCTCAGGTGGGTCACCTTACTTAGCAACAAAAATAAACGAAGCAAAAGACTTACTGGAATCCAGTGCAAAAAACTGAAATCTGAAGCCCTGGGTCACAGGAGATTCAGTAAATACATCATGCATCAGCCCTCCTAGCTACTTGCTCTGCACATTTTCTTAACCCTGCATTGATTGTTCCTATTTATTGTCATAATTAAAAATAAAATATTATTTAAAGGCAAACTGAAATCTTTTATGGTTATGTACAGCTATGTAAAGTTAACGTACAGTTACGCTTCTGTGAGGAGCAAGGAGTTAGACTTTGATGATCCTTAGGGGTTCCTTCCAACTTGAGGTATTCTATGATTCTGTATCTCGATTTTATTATATTTTGATTGAATGATGACCCATTGTAAGCTTTGAAAATATTCTCTTACTGTTTTTCTTCAGAAATAGTTGCTTCTTTCATTAAACTTTTGGAACTCTTCAAAATTTTAAGAATAGTCTTATATACAGGATTTTGTTTTTTCTTCATTAATGAAGACTTGACCATTGCCAGAAAATCTGTGACAATATATTGAGTCACTGGAGGTATGGCAGACTCTGTATGGCAAGTTTTCAGTGTTGCCTTACTCCTGAATCTGTTCTGAAATAAGGTTTATTCATAAGTGTAGTTTGAGAAGCACAACTCTTAACAGAGTGACTAATGGGACTACAGGCTGCAGTTTCCATTGGCTGTATAAGGCTTGGAGATGCAAAGGAGGAGTCTTGGGTTTGGTTCATTCTTTTGCGTGTTCAGTGATCTCTGAAATTGTCAAATAATTATTTAAGCGTGCTTTTACTTTGGGTCAGAGAGTGCTTTTGCTCTGTAGCAGCTGGGGTGGCGTGGGGCATTTTCATGGCAGCAGAACCGAAGAAGGCAGGTACAGGTGGATGGAGTTCAGATGAATTTTAAAGGCTGTGGATGTCTGGGTCAGTGCAGACACATCAGCCTGGTGTAGGGCTGATACAGCAGGGAACAAACAGGACTGTACGCCTGGTGACAGTCGCTTTGCTTGTGGCTTTGGGTGGATTTACTGGGTGGGCTCTCCAGCCATTCTCACATCTCTGCATTATGCTCCATTTCCCAAAATATCCTGCGCACCTCTTTGTGTAGCACCCTAGCAACTTTGTGCTGATTTTGGGGAATACCAAAACCATGGATCTCTGAGGAGAACAAGTTTCGATTGACAGCTGAGAGCAGATGCTATTTGGGGCACTTGGCTGCTGCAAATTCCTACCGGTAAGTTGGCTGCAGATAAATTAACTCTCCTAAGAAGATGATGATGAGATGAGACAGTCTAGTGGATTCATTGCAAGGCTGAAAAACTTTCTAGTATCCATTTAAACTTGTTTCATTTGAGGTACCACAAACAACTGGCTAAAGTGCTACAAATATAAAATTTAAGTATCCCATTTCCTAGGTTATTCAGCCAGAGGAAAGTGGCTAAGAGCAGCTAAATAATTAAAGCATCCAACCTCATATTATCCACCAGAATGTGCGGTTTTTTTGTTCACCCATTGGTGGATGTCCAGATTATATGGATTTTTTTCTTGAGGAAAGAATATGAATTTTATTTTTTTTAATCAGGATCCTTCCACTTTGTCAGACTTCCTTTACTTTAACTAAAGATAGATTAAGAAACCTACCAAACTTGTTGCCCCTGAAAGAAAATACTAACTAGGTAATTTAGAAATGTCTTGTTGCAGGACATATGATACAACTTGACTAAATCAAGCAAAAAAGGCTGCAAGGAAGAACCTGCCTGGAAACAGGCATATGCTATGTGAGTACTACACTTGCATCATTTAACTAATGCTCTAATACAGGAAACTTGTAGTACTATGCAGTAGCCATAATTATTTCTTGATAACGGTGTAGAAATCAAGTAATGCACATTTAAGGTTAGTTATTCCTTTCACTGGTATATAAGTATGTATTAGCCAAAAAAAAAAATATTCATGAATGCTTTTTAATTTTGTGAGAAGTGAGATGGTGGGATTGTTCCTAATTTTCTTAAGTGGAGCTTGTAAGTGATCTGAGTCATTGCAAAATTGATGTGTATGGTAGGTAGCAAAAACGTTCTTTGTAATGATTTTGAACTGACTAGCTGTTGTTTTCATATGATTGGTTTGTTAAGTTTTTTTCTGAGTAAAATGAGGTATAAAGAGATATTCTAAAGCATCAATTGAAAGAAATATGTTAAAGGTGACTTCTTGTTCTGTTTTTAAAAATTATCTTGTCTTTGTAGGAAGCATGGCATTTATTTTTGTGAGGTGGTTGTTGATAGTTTTCTTCCTGAACTAATAATTTACACCTGATTATTTTGGATGAAACACTTTTTTTTTTTTTCTGTCTTTCAGTTATGAGAGAGATTGTCCTTTTTAATAAAAAGAAATAAAACCTAATTCTGTTCCTGTTTTCTCCATCTTCTCAGAGCAGAGTACTGACCGATTAGCAAATTAAGAAATTCACCAATTTAACTGTCCGGTGTTATCTCTGGAAAATGCTGTAAAATGAGTGAAGTTAATGAACGGTGGTTGTGAATCCATCATTCTTCTATGTCTGGTGCCATAACGTCATACTCACAATAGCTTAGGTATGTCTCTGTGGAAGCAACTAATTTTTCTCATTTGTCCACTGGTAAAGCTTGCTTTACCTACAAAAATGATGTTTGGAAGAATGAAGACAGGACAGTGAAAGATGTGGTCAAGCAAATCATGTAAATACCACTCAAATTGTTGTCGCTGATAGTGAACGTTGCAGGCTAAGGACTGTCTTTGGAGACTGCCTTGCAGAACATCACCTGGTTTGGTGCTTTACTGGACTAGGAAGAACAGGATACTCCTTTTTTAAATAGCATAGCCTGTTAATTTAGCCTTAGGCATATTTAACCTGTTGAGACTTTTTCTTTACTTGTCAGATGTGGAAGGTTTTTTTTGTGTAAGAAAAGTTCATAAAGGATTCCGATGCAATTTCTGTCCATCCGTAACACTAGCAACAAAGAAACTCTTTTTTATTGTGTGCACAATATGCAGAAAATGTTTGACTGTAAGTTCTTAGCTTGGGAATTCCCATGGAGTTTTCTGTTTGCTTGATAACCGAGCCCAGGTATCGCCTGTAACTTCAGAAGTCCTGCAAGACTCAGTGCATTCATTTGGCCTTGCTGTGGGCGATTCTGAGGTTATTTAATGAAGCACAGCTCACTTGGCTGCTTGTTTTTCTCTCTTAGTCCATGGCAGTTTTCTCTGAAATTTCATTCTTTGCCCTTGCCACAGGAGACTTAGGCACAGATCCCCAGAAAGACATGGTGAAATCTGGTTATCTGCCTGTAAGAGAGCAGGTTGCAAAACGTTTGCTGGCCTAGAATGGGATTTGGGTAGAATTGAAACGTGAATACAGGGGTGCGATTCACAACACTTTTGCCTGATCTCCTAGGTAATTTTAAAGATAAAAATTTACTCTCCTGTGTGTGTAGATTTCTGCTTCTGCATAGGTGTTAAAACTACTTCCTTCTGGATGGGTCTTTTTTTCTCCTCCTTGAATCAACAGTTTAGGTGTCTGGTGTCTTTAATTTTCCCAAGAAGCCTGATCCAGTCAATGTAATTACAGAGTGCCTTGGTGTGAAAATCCCGATAACTGACCGGATACTCAGGTGAGGCTGGTGATGAAGCTGGGCTGAGGAGGTGAAGGCACTTGCTCCACTTCTTGCAGCAGTTGTGTCCTGCTGCGGAATGGAAGGTTCATGAAGCCTACAAGGTCCCAGGACCAGAGTACTGAGCTCCTGAGGCCAGTTTAAAACTTTTGGAATGGCGTCAAAAACAACTTTAAAAAGTTCACCAGCAAAGGTATTGCAAATATCTTTAGGAGCTTCGCTTCCCACATGTTTGGCTTTAGGCTCTTTCCTTTAGTTCACACTCACCTGTTAGCTTCTGTCTCTCTGTCTGTCCTAGACTGGACATTAGGAAAAAGATTTTCACAGAAAGAGTGGTCAGACACTGGAATAGGCTGCCCAGGGAGGTGGTTGTGTCACCATCCCTGGATGTGTTTAAAGGTCCTTTAGATGTGATGTTGGGGGATATGGTTTAGGGATGAGCTTTGCAGAGCAGGGTTAATGGTTGGACTCGATGATCCAGAGAGTCTTTTCCACCCTCAATGATTTTATGACTCTATGACAAGCAACAGCAGCAGACTGACACTACATTGCCAGCTACGGCTTAAAGAACTTTTTAGTTAAATATTAAAATTAGCATTTTCTATGGGTTATCAGTGGCAACTTTTGGCGTGTAGGTTGCTAATATTTGCAAATTGCCAGCAGTCTTGGGACTTCTGAGTTTGGTCATTTCAGCTATTGCTGTCAAGCAACAGAATGTGTGTGTGTGCATATAAGCACAGGTGTTTATACACATACAAGCTGCTTTTCAGGATCCTATGAGGAATTTTACATATGTGCTGTGGCACACTTCTTTTAAAAATAACATTTTTCTTGAATTTTTTTTTTTTGCTTCATTTTCCAAAATCAGGTTATTAAAATTTAGGAATGAGAAAAGCTTTCTTCTTCATGGGTATCTGCAACTTCTGACATACCTCTCATTCTTCTGATGACAGGAGAAATAAAGCCCAAGTAATTTACAGGTCTTAATTATTGTTGCATAAATTTAAAAAGTTGTTGCATATTAAAAGAAATGAAATAACATGCACCACCAAAAAATCTCTCATTTATGCTCTTTATTGATCTTTTTAATACTCAGTGTTACTCTGATATGTACAACGTAGCTATGAGTCTTTTAAAGAAATGGTGGCACTGTACTTCTGCCATCCTCATACTGTATTTGTTTGAGCTATTTTTTTACAGATCTATGTTCCCAACTTTTTTTTTTTTTAAAATGAGAATATAAAACTTACTGGAAAACAAAAAAGTGCTAGAGCTTTTAGGGATGTTGCCCAAGTAAAATTTTCTCTTTGGGAATGATTAAAATCTTAGCTTTTCTATTTTGCTTTATTCTGCTCAAGTTTATTCACGTGTTTGGGGCATTGAGTAGGAGAGAGGGAAATTTTAGATGGTTATTTGATGTCTTA